GCTGACTTTTGGATCAGAAGGATGTCTGATTAATTAAATATTGTACAATTATCCATTTCATATTTGTGCAGCAGGAACAGAAGTGAGAAGCCAACCCACAATATTTTTATTAATTTGTAAAATGCTATAAAATATAAACTAATGATAATTAAATTATGTACCGAGCCCTATCAGTGCCTTTGGATCTCTGCTTTGAGGATCTAACTAATAAAAGGACAGATTCTGCTACATAAAAGCCTACTATTACTCTGAACAAACCAGTCAGTTCCTAGTTCTCCTAAGGCCACCCTGAAGCACTGAACGACTCCACGTCACATCAGCCTGGGCCTTGCCTGAGATGACCCTTCCTTAGGGACGCAGCCTCAAAAGAAAACGAGGAACAGCAAACACAAGTGAGCATCACCAAATGACAAAAGGAAGAGAGAAATTAGACTGCCCATTAAGTCCAATGTTTTTTAAAAGCTCAAGCCTAGGATTTTGCTCCTCAGAGCTTATAAACTGCTTCGTGCCATCCTGATATCTCTTAAAGGCTCACATGATTGTTTTCCCCCAAACCTGCAAAAGATATAGCAAAACCAACCCAGCAGTCTTCAGTAAGAGTTGATGTTGGTGTTTCTACGGTAAATCAGGAGGATACAGCCAGGACCGTGGCTAACAGTAGCAATTCGGGTTTTAACTCGCCGGTGCCGTGATCTGAAATATTAAGAGAAACACCTGCCCTCCGTGCAGCAGCACCACTGCCGCGGCCAAGACCTGAGCCAGGGTGGTACGTGTCCTCGGGCAGTACGTGTCCTCAGGCAACAACCTCATCAATCAAAAAATGGAAGGCGATCGTCCCTGAAATCATTTGTATTACAGCACGGTCAGAAAAACCGACGACTCCGAGTCTCTTGGACACAGACAAGTCTCCCGTAATACAAGACCACCTGTTCTTCATCAGTATCTTAAAAGCAGGCTTCCCTGTGTCTTTATTCCAACATTCGTGTCCGTGTGCACCCACCTACCCATCTCTTCCCATGCGGAGGGCGCAGGCAGCACACCCATCCCCACCACCACCGCCCCAACCATCCCCAGTCAGATCCCGGCGGCGGCAGGAGGGTGCACACCCGGCACACCCGGGCCTCCTGAGGGCGGAGGACGGACACCCCACAAACCCCCTTTTCCCGCCCGGCCGGGCCCCTCGGCCCCGGCCCCCGCTGCGGAGCGTCCCCG